GCCCATGGCTGCAAAGCTTTGTCTCTGTAGAAAGAATGAAAAGTAATGAGGGAAAGGATTAAGCTGCTGAAAAGCATCTGGTTTCGCTGCATGAAGGCACAGCTCAGCCACATACTGCTTTTGCAGGTGTGGGGGGTACAGCCCTTCCTCTGCCAACTTTTTGGCAGTCCCCCTGTCTTCAAGGTTGTGTGACCCATTGCCAGTTTTTATGTATTCATCCTATAGCAACATTTATTGCTAATAGACCCTGGGTGTGTGCTGAGGAGCTCTCATACAGGCTGTTGTCTCCCTTTCTGTTGGAAGCTGGGCTTTGTTGCTCTGCTAACCAGCACAGCAGCTGAGCGAACACAACATAATGTTCATGAATTATTGTGGGCAACGTCCACGTCCTCCTCAGTGGTGTGTGGCAGGGTCACCTGCTCTTCAGTGTTCTGGTCTACCCAGGAAATCTCTTTCAGTGTCTATTTTTGCCTAGTATTTTTGCTTTACATCCAGTACAGTAGTGACACATTGGTTATTTGACCATAATTCAGTATATAAAACCAGCAGTAACTAGGAACATTGCTTTCTGCATGGCCTTGAGTGCTGAAGCAAAACTCATCTGACCTGAATGGGTGTTTTTCCAACAAAACAGGCTCCAGTTTTTTTGGCCGAGACTTTTGTGAGCATTTTGCAGCCCTGGTTCACTGGAAATCGACTTTAGATATATAACCTCACAAATGCCTGTGCTGCTGCCAGATTTCAGCAGCGGTGGGATGACTGCGCTCTGGAGTGCCCGCCAGCAGCCCCATGCTCCCGCAGTCAGAACACCATCGGGCTCCAGTGGTGGATCCCCTTGCTGCAGTGGGAGGTCAGAGATGGCACATGCTAGCTCTGGCTCACAATTTCCTCATGGCACTACAGATTTGTTCCTTGCAGTATGTTTTCTAATTCTCTCGCCATTCATGGTTTACAGGTCTTGAAAAAAATTCTCTTAAGAGTGATTTTGCGTCACTTGATAATTCTCACCATTAGGAGTTTCTCAAACTGAGATTTCATTTACAAAGTGGTAGCCACCGTGAAAACAGAGGAAGCTACAGTCCCAGCCTTACAAAACTGTCAGTCTAATAATTTTAATTTTGAAGGTGCTATAAAATTCAGCTCCCACAGTCTCCTTCCAGCTGCTGCTGCCCCGGACATCCCTGGCAGGAAACCTTGTCCCCAGTATCAGAAGCAACTCGAGCTCAGGCATCTTTGATCCCCATGGTGTAGCCCACCTGGGGGCATATTGCCGTGTCCCCATGTTGTCATACCCAGCGTGCCCGTCTCCTGCGATCACGCACAGCTTTCTCCATCAGTGTCTGACAAGAAGAGGGAATGGTAGCTAACACTCTAAGCAATGCAAGCGTGTTTCTGCATTTTTTCTACCCTGATGCGGGTGATATTGATCGGTCCATTAATGTAAATGTCTTGGCTGTTGTATGTTGCTTTTCTTGCTTGTTAATCAAAATAATGCAAAATGAGGGGAAAGCAATTTTTTAGGAAAAAAATGAAATACAATCAAAAGTGATTGAATAGAGCCTGCTGGAATGTGATGGGGCTGTCTGCCACCCACCAGACATGAGGATACCCACAATAACTGGGGAAAAAGTTGAAATGCTTTATTTTGACATTTTGTGTACACAACGGTTGGATTTCTTTGTCTCCAAGCAGTGTTTTGAGGGACAATTTGCCTAAATCTGTTTGTTTGGTTAAAAAAAACCGCAGCCAAATATTTTGTTTTTATCTACTGACACATTTCAGTCAACTGCAAATGTCTTTTTTGGATGTGCAGGTTTTTGTTTTGCCTGGAAAACAAAATGGAAGGAAGCAACTTTAATTTGCAGGCACCTTGAAGTTATTTCTGCTGATTCCAGTTGGGGAGATCTCCCTGTAGCCAGCAGCAGACGCAAAACAGTGAGACATATACATAATATCCGGAATGTGAATACTCCCACTGAACCAATTCACAGGTTGGAAATCAAGCTGGTGCTTAAGTGCCTTGGTGTATTGAGGCTTTAGCAATAACAAATAACACTAAGGAGCAAAAATGATCAATTAAAGAACTCCTAATGAATCAAAATATCAGCCTCCCCAGGTTGGGAAGGCCAGAAGCTGAAAGGCAGGTTAGAGAAGGTGTGAAATCCCCTTTTCTGTTGTTTCTCACTACGTGGTGGCCACTGCTCTGTGCTGCTTGTATTTCCCTGTGTTTTCTTGGTAAAGCTGCAGAGAAGGAAACTACTTGAGACACTATTGCTGATCCTGTTCATTTCTATTACACAAACGGTAAGGAGAATCCAGATTTTATTTATGTTCCATGCACAGAATTAAAAAAAAAAAGGGGGGAGATGTCTGGAAAAAATTACTCTCTTTTAAATTGATTGTAGTTATCCGAAACCTTGGAAATACTCATTTGTTTTCTGATACAGTTGACGGATTTTGCTATGCAGCCTGGCATTGTGTAAGAACATAATGCATGTAGTAAAGGTGACTAACCCCTGAGATTGTCCCCGCTGATGCCAAGTGGCCCATATGCTGTCATAAACACTTTTTCTTCTTTTTTTCACGCTGATCGCAAGAGCCCATTTTGGGTAGAAGATCACATTAGGCTCATTCATTACCTGCTGTGCTGCTCTGTGCATCTGCAGTGCAGCATCTCTGTACTGAGCTTTGGACTACATCCCTGTGTGCTTTCTGATATTCCAAATTGTCTGTCATGGGTATACAGATCTTCTTCCGTGTGCATCCTGGAACATTCTGCCAGAGATAAAAATTACTCTTCAAAGTGGCTGAACTTTTGAGGGATATGATTGTTGATAGCTGATATTAGGCTGTATATATATCATCAAGAGAAATTCCTGAAAACTGATATTTGTAGCAAAACTATCACTCCTTGTAGCAGAAGAGAAAGAAACTGACTGGCAGATTATTCTCTGTTTTTATGAATAAATTTAAAATCCAGTGAGAACCACAGGTGTGACACACTAGTGAAATTTTACCGTACCACTGCAAACTTTAATCTTCACTTTTATTTTTCTTGAAAGTCTGTCTTTGTCCAAAAGCAAAATTTCAGGCCTAGGGCTACTGAAGACCATCTTTAAACTTGCCTTGTGATTTTGAGCAATACATCATGAGAGCAGTGATGTTCAGATGATACATTGCACTAATGCATCACAAGAGCACTATCGCTTTCATGATATATTAGTATAATACACTATCAGAACACTATCACTGATGTATTACTCAAAAACACAGCTTTAACCCTCAAGAATCATCCTCATCTCTAGGCTGAATACACTGACAGATGCGGATAATGATAAGAATAAGCAATCACATATTCAGTTTCTCTAGGTTAAGCTGAGAAAAAAGAGTGGTATTCCGAATATTTCATTAACTGAAACATCCTGTGACTTCATTTTTTTCACTGAGCAACATGTTTTTATGGATTGAAGCTAGCACAATATAGGTGTGTTTGAATTTTCTTACAAATAGCCTAAGAAAATATTTTTTGATTTTGGATTTCATTGTAGACTTGAGCCATGTTTTAAGAATGTTTCAATGAGGTGCATGAATTTCAGCTGATTTCTACCTCATCAAATTGAGTCAGTGGCAAGCTATCTAAATTCTATGTAAAGCATTTGATGCAGTATTTTTTTTTTAAATGATTTAGGCACCATCTAAAAAGATCTGGAGATGCATAAATGTGATCTGTCACTCAGATCATTTGCTGCCTCTCCTCAATGAGGTGTTAGGGTTTTTTTCCTGAAGAATTATTCCCAGTTGTTTTGTTTTTTTTTTTTTTGTTCTCAAAAGAGAGTGAAAGAGAAAGGGGAAAAGATAAAAGAATGCTTTGCAATGTTGTAGTTGAACTTACTGCAGAAAAGCATATAGATGAGCATTTGTTTGATTTCCTAGTAGAGTTTGAGTCTTGAGAATCTTCAATTACCCTTCCTATATGGTATGAAGAGACTGTCATCATCTCTTAACAGAAAAAAAAAAAATAGTAATAGTAATAATACAACATCAAGTTTGCAAGGTGGCAAGTCATATATTTGCTTTCTTGTCCATATTTTTGTTCCTTTTCCCCATATCTCATCAACATTTGTGACAAAAATACACTGCCCCTCCCCTCCCTCCCACACCGGGTAGCCCAAAGCTGCCTGTGCAGTTCATAGCCCTTAGCTCTGCTACCCCCGACCAATGGCCCCGCCAGCAGGAGAGTGATGCTCGTGCTTCAGGCTCTGCAAAACTGGGGTTATAATTCTTGTGCCTCGTACATTTGGGACCAGTTGGTGCGCTGGAGCCCACGTCCCTGCAGGCGTGTGCCCCCAGCACGCACCTCGTACCCCTGGGGCTTTCAGTCTGTTATATTCGGGCTACAACCTCCTGGGGGCAAAAGCAAAACATTAAAGTCTTTTTAACCTTGCGAAAGACATTGCCTTAGCCATGCTGAACAGCCTAGTGCATGTCCTTTTCTGAAGCATTTCTACCTACATGGTCCCCGTTATGTACCATCAGTTCCTCTATCCCCCGGCCTGTGCAGCGCAGCACTGAGCCCGGGGCTGCCTGCATGAGCCCTCTGCCCATGCCTGCTACAGCCGTGTCCCATCACTGGCACCTTCTTATTCTGCTCGGTTTTGAAGTCACAACACGCAGCTCCGAGGTATGTTGTCATTTCAAAGCTGTGGCTAAATACGTCTCTGACTGACAACTATGAATAATTCCACAGAGCCCCTAAACTTCCAAGTATTTCACTCTGAAGCTCATATAATACAGCAGAGCTGCTCTCTCATGTTTTTCATCTTTTCATATTCTCCAAAGAGTTGAGATACAGTTATGGAACAGGTTAATGTATTTTCCTCTGAAAATAATGCTGTGGGAGCCCGTGCACAGTTACTTGTATGTGTGGAGAATAATGCTGACAATCCAGAAAAGAAAGTCGTGAGCTTGATAATCACCATTATTTTGTTTCACATTTTCAGCATGTTCATGTCCATGTCCTTCCAAGAAGGGCCGGAGACTTTAGCAGG